TGTTGTAGCCACTATTAATGCTTTACCAGAGTTGACAAAGAATTTGCTAAGGCTTTCCCTTATTACAAATAAATCGATATCTATATGTACACCTTTTGAATATTAATGATGTCTATTTGCACAACACATGGGAGACCTTCTTTGGGTTTCACAATAACCTGTAAGTTGTTATTTTCTTAAGTACATGTTTCACAGAAGGAAAAGTGCTCAGTAATGCAGTAATTGACTCAAGACTATCCAGGTAATAAGAGGCAGGGCCAGATCTCACGCCCAAATGCTATGCACTTTCCAAATCCTGCCATGTTTTATTTGTGTCCTAATCTAAACTAGTTAGTTTAGATTCTGGCATCAGGACCTTTATTTCCATTGTGAATGACTGTTTCTCGTTCATGGATCATTGTGATCCACAGTTGGTGTCCTGCCCTCAATAGGATCACTCTCTTCTTTCTCAGTATCTCATTGGTCTCTATCATTTCCTCTTTCCCTGCTTGAACTTCCTTGTACACAGCCTGCTCCCTTCCCCTTAGCTCACCAATAATGAAATGTAATGCTTTGAAATGACTCTTACTTTCTTTTCTAGGAAGACTACCAGGACTTGGGGAAGAAACTCAAGCTGGTCCCAAGCCTACTTGCTTGTGGTCATCAAACACAGAGATAAAAGTAGCAGAAAAACTGATTGCAAAAACCTGGGTCACTATTGTAGACTGGAAAAACTTTTTGTAGGTGAATAGATCTTCAAATGTAATCGAAGAACAGACTTGGCATTTCGTTGCATAATAGCACCATCCAGTTGTCAAAAGAAAAACCCACCTGCTCTGAGGGAAATCCAAGAGACTTCAGGGGGCTGAATGCAAAGGCAGAACTGGATCCAGGTCTCACAAAACCACTCTGTATACAGTCACAGGACTTTCAAGCACTGTCTTACACAAGCAACCACTCCTAAGATTGAAATTTGTCAATGGAAATTATTCTTGTGTTTATAACTGAAAAGCAAAACATTTCTACCTCTGTTAGCTTCCCTTTTGGGAAAAAAAAAAAGCATTTGATGCTTAAGCTACATTTTATTGCCTTATTCTTCCTCTGCAAAATAAAAACACAAGAAGGAAAATTAGAGAACACTTAAGAGACTTCATTTGTCTAATGTTACCAAATCTGTGTACCCAGCTACCAAGGGCACCTGGTATGAATGCCATAGTAGAGATGGGGTGGAATGAAGAAATACTATAAATTCTGGGTGGGGGTGCCATAAAGGCTTTAAGAAAGATGACATGTGAACTGAGCCTCAACAGAGAGGAGATAGAGCTTCCAGCAGTTTGGGTAGAGCGATTCAAGTTCAGAAAACAGGGTACACTTAGGGATGGTAAAGGTGGCAGGAAGATACTGTGTATAGCAGGGATTTAGTTATTTTCATGTCTCTCTTTTGAAATCTAAGATCACAGAGGACAGGGGCTAGGTTTTGCAGGTCCAAAACCAAATCCTTTCATAACTTCCTACAAGCTGCCTGCTTCACACATCAGATCTCAGGAAATTTAAAATCAGGACAAGGAATTTGGGAATTAATCTGAGATGGTGGTCAGGTCTTTGGAATTTTAGGGAAGGAATTATTGCATTCCCATTTTAGGAAAATTCACCTGGTACAATAGAGAGAAGGAATTGGAGTAGTACAAGAGTTGATGGGAGTTAACATTTAAGTTGGTTTCAGGGATCCAAGATCATTGTAATAACTTCTGTCTCCAGAAATTTTTAAGCACAAAATGGATTAGATGCTCTCCATCTCAAAATCCTTTATGGCTTTTATAAATGAAGTCCAAAGTACCAAAACCAGCATTGAAGGTTCTTTATAATCTGAATCCATTCTACCTTTCTTGCTACCTTCCTTTGCATTCTCTGGCTTTAATCAATAAGGAGTTCTCAAATATGTCACCTGTGAGTGTCACTTTGTGCTTTCTAAGACTCCACACTCACATAGGTGTTTTCTATGATTCCTATTATGGTGCTATTTCATTCTTCCCTGAAGCACAGTGGAGTTCTTTGAAGGCTAGGGTGTTGCCTTATTATGCACACTCCTCTACACTGTTAGCCTCAAATGATGGGCACTTGGCAAATATTCACTGAGCAGAATTGAACTGTAATAGCAATATTTGTACTGGGACTATTTCATACTTTTGAGCCCCAGAAACCATAAAAGACTATCGATTAAACTACATAAAAACATAGAACACTGTGTCAAAATTTTTAAAAAGCCACAAACAAAAAGAGGAACTGGGGAAACTATACAGAATACATATGACAAAGAGGAATTTCCTTAATACACAAGAAATTTCCCAAATCATTTATACCAACAATCTAAAAACAAATGGGCAAAGGAAATGAATACACCAGTTCCATTTTTCACTCATCAGACTGACAAGAGGAAAGAGTTTTAAAATACCAGTGGAACTGAGGGTGTCAGGAAAGAAACTCACAGGCTTTATTTATGGCAGTACTTCTCTTTGGAGGTAAATGTCAATATCTACAGAGTTCAAACTGCAGAAAACTTTAACCTAGGAATTCCACTCTTAAGAGGATTATTTTACAGATAAAAATATACAGGGCAGAGACCCTGATAAAAAGCTGATTGTTGCAACCTTGTTCATAATAGCATACCCATAAGTAGGAGATTGGTTCAATAACGGTATTCTGTATAATGGAAACTTCAATCATTGACAGTAATGAAATAAATCTATAATCACTAATAGAAAAAATATCCCAAACTGCATCATCAAGAGAAAAAAGTAATTTATATATATCATGTACTATGATGTTCCTTGTTGCAAAGCAAATGCATACAGATATGCTCGTATATGCACGGAAAGTCTTGAAAACTCTTGATATTGACTGCTGCTGGGGCAGATTCATTATGCATTACCTACCCTTTTGCATTGTTTGAACTGATACATTTTTTTAATTTTCAAATCCCCCATTTCCCAAACACAGACACATTTGTTGGCCATTCATTACACATTAGATGCAGACCAAGGTATAACCATGAATGATACTGTTTATTTCTCCCAAGAAGGCACAGATGAGTGATTCTTAAAAGGGTTGCTTTTACATACTACAGATGCAGATTCCCAGATATTGAGAATTTGTAATGAGATGCTTTCTAAAACAGTGAACATGAACGCAGTAAACAACTTCTACTTTTTTGACATATAAAAATTTCTCACAGCATTCTGACACTAATTTATCAAGCTTCACTTTCCTAAAACCAAAATTTGAAGAAAAACAAGAGTGACAAATTTAACAGTGGTGGTAAAAGAAACCATTTAGATATTGCCTCTCAAAGGTGATACAATGAGATCTTGCACAATCAGGTTATAAGAAGAGCACACTGAAGTTACCAGCGTTGTGTAGAGAAGCAAGCTAAGAATCAGGGAATTACTGAAGAGAGATTTGAATTAAACAGTTTTTCCTGGGTGGAGCCATTACATATTAAATATATGTTAAGAATTTGCCAATCAAAAATTCCAAAATTAGTTTGTCATCAAGATACTTCACAGAAAACATTCACAGAAACCAACCATCAAAGAGCTATGCCATTATCACAAAGCTATAAGAGAGTGGGGTGCTGGCATAAAGGTAGAAATACATAGATCAATAGAATAGAAAGTTCAGGAAAAAAATCTCACAAATGTATAATCAATTGATTTGCACCAGGCATGGTGGCACACACCTGTAAACCCAGCAGCTCAGGAGGTTAAGGCAGGAGGATCATGAGTTCAAAGCCAGCTTCAGCAACTTAGTGAGGCTCTAAGCAACTCAGTGAAACCCTGTCTCAAAATATTAAAAAAGAGCTGGGGAAGTGGCTCAGGGGTTCAAGCACCCCTGGGTTCAATCCCAGTATAAGGGAAAAAAATCAATTGATTTGCAACAAAGGTGCTAAGACAATTTAATTGGGGAAAAGAACAGTCTTTTTAATGGATAGTATTGGAACAACTGCATAGACACAGAGAATAAATAAAGCTGAACTCCAACTTCAGACCATATGCAAAAATCAACTCAAAATAGATCAAAGACCTAAACGTGAAAGCTAAAACCATAAAACTGTTTGAAGAAAACAGGTATAAATCTTTGTGACCTTGGATTAGCCAATGCTTTCTTAGCTATGACACCAAAAGCAACAAAAGAAAAAATTGGAATTTTATCGTGAAGAGGGCAATAAATACTCTGCTGACTTAAAAGGTTAATGTTGCACAGCTTCACATTCACCAAAATTAAACTTTTGTACTTCAAAGGTCACCATAAAGTGAAAATACAAACCACAAAATGGGAGAAAAATTCTGTAAACTGTATATCTGATTTTTTTGTGTATCTAGTATATGCAAAGAACTCTTACCATTTAATAAATAAAATGACCCGATTAAAAATGGGCAAATGTTGAGCATGGTGGTACATGTCTATAATCTCAGCAGTTGGGGAAGCTGAGGTAGGAGGATGGTGAGTTCAAAGCCAGCCTCAGCAAAAGCAAGGTGCTAATAAGCAACTCAGTGAAACCTTGTCTCTAAATAAAATACAAAATAGGGCTGGGGATATGGCTCAGTGGTTGAGTACCCCTAAGTTCAATCGCTAGTACCCCTCCCCAGTCCAAAATGGGCACAGGATCTGAAGGGACATTCTCCAAAGATACACAAATAGCCAATATGCACATTAAAAGATGCTCAACAAACATTACTAGCTATCAGAGACATGCAAAGCAAAATCACAAGGAAACAACAGTTTAGCCCTAGGAGGACTGTCATCAAAGTCAGATTAACAAGTGTTAATGAGGATGTTGAGAAACTGGAACTCTCACACACTGCTGGTGGACTGTAAAAAACAGTGCAACCACTTTGGAAAACAGTTTAAACAGGTCCTAGAAAAAATAAAAAGGTTTAATGGTTACCACATGACCCAACAATTCAACTTATAGGTATATATTCAGGAAGAAATGAATGTTCACACAAGAAGGACACTGGTGGTTAAGGTGGGCACTCATGTCTATATTTGAAATGCTTATTAATAAGGCAAAAGTGGTTAAAACAAATAAATGGAAATTTTAAAAGCTATATCAGGACAAACAGCTACATAATGAATATTGATAACTAGTATGTACACTTAAAGAGGTGACATTAAAATTCCAAACTCTGAAACAAGCCTGTACTGAAATGCTTCTCACACAAATAGGACATAATTCCCTTCAGGTCCTATTTTAACCCATTATTTCTACAACATTACAAAAATTGAAAGAATTTTTGAAACAATCCATTTTTTTATTCAAATAGAATCACATTTAACAATCAAGGTCATATAATTTAAAAACTTCTGAACTGTTTTGGACTCAGATGGATAGTTGATTGTCGGCAGTCATTAAAACAATGCTCTTGATCCAGGATCAGAGGAGAAGAAGGGACACGGCAATTTATTTTCACTGGTTGTCTACATTAAATTTTATTAAATAATGTCTCTTTACAAAACTATTCTGTAAATGAAACAAACTAGATTTTTAAAGGCAGCAAGTATATATGCTATACAATGCACCAAACTGAAAACTCACTCTTTTTATATCACAAAATGAAGTTGAGCTCACTAGATAAGCCCCCACATCCTTCCTTGTCTACCTCACTCTGTAAACAGAAATCCTTCCAGGGGAACCCATTTCTTTTTGTCTTTCTGTAGTTCAAAAACTGATAATACAGTTTCATAAGGTTACCCAGAATTTATGGACTGTTGCCTAGGATCCTAAGCCTTTCCTTAAAGAAAGAAAAGAAAGAACACCAGTTCTTTTTCATGCCATTTATTTAGAACAGTTTTTCTATACCCATTTCCCCCCTAGTGAATGTACTAGCCTTATTTAAACAAAGATGAGTGAGTCAAGGAAGAAAAGAGATTTTTAGGGGTAAGCCTGAGGTTTGAGAACCACCACACACCTACCCCAACCCACCTTTCCACTCATCCCCTTCACCTTTACACACTTCAAACTCTAGGTGAAACAGAAGATTTCCTTCTATCATGTTGTTCTTCCCATCATTTCCTTTCTTTGGAAATACTACGTCCCAGCCCCATTAAGTCTTTGTTTGTTCACATCTAAACTTTCATTTGAGACCCAGCAGAGAAGCTCAACTCCAATAGTCTTTCCTAACCCTCCTTATTTCCTGGAAGTGCAGCGTGGCAGTGACATATTATCATGGCATTGAGAACAAATACAGAGGACACAAAACTACCTTAATTCTGTCTCTCCTTGTAAATCTTCAGATCTGTCTGGGTAAGGCCAGTCAAGTTTTAAAAGATTATAGTAATTGTACATTTAAAAAAAAATATCTTCTAGTTTACATAAACAATTTTAGAGTAAACATTCAATAAGGCATTTTCCCCATTGCTCCCAAGATTTCATCTCTTTCTGCTGCTGTGGGCATAAATGGTGTCACTCCATTTTGTCTTCTTTGGATCATGATGGAATTCTGTGTATAGGCAAAAAAGAAGAAACCAAAATCAATCATGTATGAAATGCTAATCATTTGCCAGTAATTTGCTACTGCTTTCTCAAAAACTCTGAAAATCAAGTTAAATAAATCCAAACTGTAGTTCTGGGACTCCTGATGTTTCAAACAAAAAAAATAAATAAATAAAATTGCTTATTCTCATAGAAATATGCTAATAGTAACTGAAATGGGGACACACTGTGTGAGTACAAGAGCATAAGAGTGTATACAGTTCACCAAGAAGACTACTGTATAACTGCTAGACAAAACCAACAGTCCATTTAAAAGGAGGTAGCTGGATCCAGTGCGCAGGGAAACAAATTATATATTAATGCATTGGGAAAATGGAACCTTAACTACCAAGAATGGTAGTGGCAAAGGAGGCAGAAATGGAAGCCTAATATGACATGAGAGCAAAGTAAGTTATATGTTCTGCTCATCTTCAGAAAAACTAAATTTACAACAAGGTTATTATTTTAGGGCTGCAGATTTATATACCTAGGAAGACTCACATATTAAAACTGCATTCAGATACCTCAGAATAGGATGAAATAATTAATAAGAGTTCTCTAGGATCCTTCGGGACTGAAATACATACAGAGGATAGAAGAAAAGTTGTTTCCCTATGGCCATCACTGGGAAAAGACTATGGGCCTCAGTTTCATGCTGAAACGATGGGTTTTAAAACAAAGCTCACCAAGCTAGGCTTACCCAAAATCTCCGGCAGTTTTTGTACTTCAAGAAGTAACTGGAACATCTTTCCTTATCATAGTTATTTTCATCCATACATCTGCTAGAAGCATCAGATTCCTTAAATATGTAAGAAACACATTATTTAAAAGGTAGAATGAGATATTAAAAAGGCCTGAAAACAAAAACTTTAAAGCTATTTTGTCCCAAGACAGATAAAGTAAAATGGGTCATTTTATTCAATGGGTACACTAAAACAGAATAATCTTGCCAACTATCCAAGAATTTATTCTGCTGGAGTAGATATCTTCCTTTTCATAGTCTAGGCCAGTTTTCTGAATATCTGATCACAGGAGTCTGAGCCAAAGTACTAACTGGGATCATGTGATCCAGAAACTGTAGCAAGGAACAATATCCACCAAACCACTGCTGCACAGTTAGAATGAGAAACAAGTCTCTTCACTCAGTATAGCTCTCCTGGATTTTCCAAATTCTTACTCTGATTTGACATTTGACTTTAATGCTGATTTTGAGATTTCAAATAAATTGCTAATAAGTGGTCTACATCAAGGCAACCTAAATTAACACCATTTATCTCAGTACATTTTTGGCTATTATTTACTCTATTACGCAAGTAAGTATTCTATTATGTAAGAAATTTTAATAGTTATTATTAATATCACTTCAAAACCAAAGTGAACACAGGGATATGAATTTAAAAGAGGGTAGGTGCCATTTGGGAATTAAATTTAAGCTGTCTGAACTGGAAGGAAGTTGGATGACAAACTTCAAAGTGAAAGAGATGATTATGAGAAGTTACCTAAAAGTACGATTTAACTAAACAGGTATGCTATTCGCTTCACAGATCTAAGAAATGTGTTCTATTTAAATAGATTTACTTAATAAAACTGTTGAAATCTAATATACAGAACAAAGCTGTATTTCTATGCCAAATATTTAATGCATATTTTTGAAAAATGCATATAAGGTCAGGCAATGTAATTCCTCATAGCATCAATATAATCACAGCATTGTACAAGGGTGGCAAAATTACAAGAGAGTATAAATCATACCAAATTAATGCAAATACAAGCTTATTATTACAATAAAACATCCTCTCTATAAGACAACTTTGTGAAAACCTTTAGGCTTAAAGTAGGTTTTCTATTATCAGCCAATTACTCTCAGCCAGGTTGTCTCAAGGACATGATAAAACCAGTGCTATTAAAACCACAAATTTCAGTGGCAACTTAAAAATGTGATGCCTTCCAGTTTTCCATGTTTGGACTAAAGATTTTTTTAGTCTTACAAACGCCTCTCTAGTTTTATAGTGCCAACTAAAGGCTTGCATATTTTACAAAAAAGCAAAATTAAAGAAGAATCTTTATTAGCTAAATCATGAACATCTAAAAACACTCTAGTGAAATAAAATACACTGGTCAGGAGTACGTTTTGTACAAAAATATCTTTATTCAACAACTGCAGAAAAGAGAAGCTCACAATTAAAAGAAGCCTGGTTTTTTTTTTTTTTTTTTTTTTTTTTTCCCTTCAACTTAACACTCAGGAAAATGAAAAGCAAACCACCCTACCAACAAACAAGGATTTATGTCAGGATCTCTCAATCGGTGCGTCACCACGGGCATCCTAGGTCTTCTTACTGAAGGTTGATAGACAAAAAATTGTTAGGCAGTGGATGACAGAAAATAAGTCAATAAGTCTTACTGACCCCACAAATACTGAAAATTTAATTCTGGCATAATGATCATTTAGAATTTCATGGATCCTCTGCATTTGGGATATGTTTCTCCTTTGTACTGCCATGTGCCTTAATATAAAAGCCATACTGAAATACATATACTGAAATTTGATTCTAATGCCCAGTGAGAAAGATAGTTCAACTATATTCAATTGTGGTTTACTCTTATTCCTTAAGTGTATGCAACTAAATCTACTAATAAAATCTAATAATATTTCCTTATTATACACTAATTAGCATATAAATTAAGGAAAGGATAATCCAGTACAGCCCACCTTAGCAAAAACTTTAGTCAACTAATGAACCAGAATGACTACTCTGTGACCAACACTAGGACAGCAATATAGCAGAAAGCCAAGTTATGGTTTAGTTGACATTTTGGAAAGCCATAGAGTTTTTAAAAAACATTTCTTTCAGTTAACTCCATTTGGGAGGGTTCAACTGAAATTGGTATGGCAACTACCTTCAAAGAAATGTCATAGAAAAAAAATTTAAAAAACTGTTAAGTAAATTATTTCAAAGTGATTTTTTGTTTTCAACGTATTGGTATACTATTGACAAACTACCCTCAATATTTTAGGATGCTGTGAACTAAGCCTAAGGAGCTGATTTGCCTTGTACTCCCAAATCTAGTTCTAGCTTAATCATCCTTCTTCCTAAGGGTCAAAGGGCAAGCCAGCAAATAATGTCTTGTGACCCAGGAAACTCCACTGAGTAAAAAAATGAATTTGTCAGTAAAACCACAGAGGTCAGAATATTTATATGAAATGGTCTCAGGCCAGGGTTGAAGCTCAGTGGTAGAGCACTTGCAGAGCATGCATGAGGCATTGGGTTCGATCCCGCATCACATAAAAATAAACAAAGTAAAGGTATTGTGTCCATCTACAACTAAAAAAATAAATAAATAAAATTAAAAAAAAAAAAGAAATGGTCTCAACTTTCTGTGCCATAGAGGGGATCACAAAAAAAATATCAGAAGTGATAAAATAAATATATTCAGAAAAAAAACAATCATATCAGACAAGCTCCTAAAATGTGCAGGTATTCTCCACAAAGTGTTACCCAGTACACCTGGGAGCAAATGTACCACCAGTAGAGAAGGCCTACCCATCCCTGCCTCAGCCTGGACCCTGGGGCTCAGATAAAGACCCTGAATCCCCAAGTCAAAATTATTGAATGTTTTTGTTTTGTCCTACTGTAGTTCTTTTTTTTCTCCCCTTTTCTGATGGCTGATTTACAAAATAAAGTAAGCTTCTCAGAAGGCTCTGAACATGGAAAGGAGAAGCAAAACCAATAGTTAGGGAGGTTGGGGGAGGGGGGTCTTTGGCCAAAAACCTAGGCAGCATGGTCTAGATAGTTTGGCATCTCCTGAATGAGAGCCTCAAGGTACCTCTTGTGTGGGAGGGTCCCTGGACTCTACCCAGCCCCGACCTTCTCCTTCAGCCATGTTAAAAACAGAGGAAGAGAACATAAGAATTTGTAGCCTATGTCTCACTGGAAAAGAAAACTTGTCATCTGTCTTGATGGAGAAGGTTCCACCTCACACTCCTATTACAATATCTATACACTGTGGCAGGATATCACATTTAGAAGGACCAAAAAAAAAAAAGTAAAATACTTGAATGGGTTTGTATAACGTTAGTATTATTGAGAGTATCTTCTTTCCCAGCTGAAGCGATTCATTTATTATTCTAGTTCTGCTGTAGTCCTTTGTAACTTAGGATAATTATGCTTTTCAATACCAAAAAAAAAAAAAAAATGTATAAAAATATAAACTTGAAAAGGGAAAAATCAGATGTCCAGGTTGAAAGAGACCCAGTCATTGCAAAGAAGGGCAGGAAAGGGTCTGATTATTCTGATGTCCTTTACTTTTTAATAATCACTAAATAATTTTATTTTGTGATTTTCATTGACTAGTACATGAAAATAGCCAGTGAACTAAAACATCCTGGCAAAAAGGAAATTCAAGATGCCATTCAATTATATCTGAAGCCTTTTGCTCTATGGAACACAATTCTTTTGCAGGCTTGACTTCTCCTAAGAAAAATAATGGTGCTAAATAAATTCACAACTTTCCTTTTCACATCTATCCTGTTATGTGAGAACACAGAACTCTAAGCTGTTCATAAATAACCCTTGTATATAATAATCTCAAAAATGATCAGACACAGAATTAAAGTTGATTACTTTACATGAAAATATCTACTCTGTATTTCATCATCAGAAATTCTTTAAAAATAACAACTAGGTAATATCCACACCCGGATCACGTTTGCTGCATGAGTTTATTCCCATTTTTATTTGCGTTTCATTTTCTTTTCCTTCCGAATTATAAGCACAAGTCACTTTAAATTTCGAAATATCACCTCCTTTGCCTGATCTCCTATGTGTTAAACTGGAACTGAAGAGGAATGTCAATTTACAGCCAGAAGTAAAGCTGAAGGGCCAGATCGAGTGCTCAGCTAAAGAGGCCTTCCTTATCTACTTACTTTTTGAAGGCACAGCACTAAACAAATGTTACAAGGCTCTAATACTAGCATGATAGCCAGAAAAAAAAAAAACCCAAAGATCTGAAGGAGGGGTCGCATCTGAGGCAGAACTCTAAAATCCACTCCAAGGAGCAAACTATTTAACAAAGTAGTTCTTGATTTCTTATACAGTACTTCACACCCTCCTCTTCAAGTAGCTTTTAAAGGGAAAGAGGAAGGGAAGGTTACTGAACACGTGCATGCCCACTGGCTGGTCAGAGTCTAGGCAGGATCTGCGACTGCTAAATCGAGAAGCAGAAACACCATAACCTTAACTACTGCTGGGTGCAGAGGGCCAGGGGCAGTAAGTCAAAGGTGCATACCGGAATGGGGCAGGCAAGCCGAAGGAAAAACTGAAAGGATGTGAATCCGAGGCCGCGCTGCCTTCCAAGGTGCTGCCTGTCAGCGTCTAATCGTGGAAACGGATATAGGTGAGTACACCTTTCTTGGTGCTGCGACGAAGAGGGGGTCCGGGACTGCGAAAACGCTGAGAAGTGGGAAGTGGGTGTGGGGGGGGGGGGCGTTCTAGTTTCGAAAGCTGGAGAGGAGGATGAAGAAGACCTGGAGGTGCCGTGACAAGGTATGGGGTCACTTTCTTCGCCCCCGGTTATACAGACCCGGGTAGCGAGAAGACCAACAGGAAGCGGCCCGCGCTGCGTCAGGGTCTGGAGGGAGCAGCTGTGCGCTGCAAAAGTGGATTCGGACCCCGTGGCGGCCCAGATGCGCCCCTTTCTTTCCGCTTCCCAGTAGCGGCAGCAGAGGGAGGGGCGGGGGACCACTCACCTCGGGCTGCCGCTTCGCCAGCGCCCAGGCCGTCTCCAGCTCCAAACACGTCAATGGCTCACGCAGCAGGACCTTAAGTAGCGCGCACCCCAACGTGCTGCCCCCGCTCCCCGGCGGTCGCCAGCCCAATCGGCGCGCGGCCCCGTCAGACTGACAGGCTTGCTAAGCTTTGCGCGGCGGGGGCGGGCGGGCCTCGCCCCGCCCTCGGCTGGCGGGAGGAGGGCCGAGGAGGGAGGAGTGGGCGGGGCGGGGCGCGCAGTCCCGCCTCCTCCCCCGCCCCGCCGCGCCCCCCGCGCCGAGGCGAGCTTCTTAACACTTCGGCTTGACGGACGGGTGCCACGGACCAATCGTCAGGCCAGCAGCCGGCGGCGGCGGCGCCTAGTGGTCGGCCTCAGGGCGGAGCGCGCGAGGTGGGCGGGCTCAGCGGCGGGTGGGGGCCGGGGGCGGGGCGGCGGGAGGCGGGGGCGGTGGCCGAGCAGGCCGGGGGAGGCGGCGGTGGGCGCGACGTCGGCGGCGGCGGCGGCGGCGGCAGCGGCAGCTGCAAGTTGGGCTGCAGGGGCAGCGCATACACTACAATGGCTGCTGGAAAGAGGCGTAAGGAAACAATTTCCAGGCCCGCCGCGTCCAGCCCGAAATATGAGAAAAAAATTATTAGAAATTCCGCGGGCGGTGTAAAGGCGGCGGACGGGCCGGAGGGAGGATGTTAAAGCCCCGCGGTGAGTTCTCCCGGGGTCCGGGGCGGCGGAGAGGCGTTTAGCGGGAGAAATATCAGGGTTATTTAAATTATGGGACTAGCTGAGGGGGCAGAGGAGCAGCGGCGGCGGCAGGAGGAGGAAAAGTTTGTGCTACTCTCAGCCCCTGCTCAGGACCCCAGAGGGAAAAATAATAATAAAAAATAAAATAAAATAATTAAGCGGGGCTGCGAGGACTTCCGAAGCCGCATCTGACAGGGCAGGGGGCGATGCGACTGGGGACCCGAAGGTGAGGTCGGTGGGAAAAAAAAAAACCTTTATTCAGGGTCTGGAAAGTTTGAAAAGTTTTCCTCCTCCTCCTCCTCCTCCTCTCTGGTGCTGTGAATATTGTGACAGCGGCAGCGGCAGCAGCGAGAGCGGAAGACATTAGAGACCCGAAAAATAAGGGAAAAATTAATATAAATTCAGTTTTGAGAGTAAAGTCCCCGCATTTTCCACCAAAACATCCCGGGGGAAGGTCGCTTCCCAAAGGGCCTGGCGGAAACCCGCAGTCGGCAATATTTGGGGGGCACTTTGAGTGACTTGGGGTAACTTTGCCCCTTTTTCAAAAGAGGTTTTTCTTTTCTGGAGAAATGAATTTGTTTTTGCCCTTTCCTCAGGTGGGCGAGTCGGGGTCGGGGTGCGGGGTCTGCGGGGAGGTGTGAGCCCGGGGTGTGTGGCTGCGAAGAGGGGGGGGGGGGGGGGAGGGGGTGTTAAATGAAAGCAGGAGATCGGCACAGAGCAGGGACAGCTTGTTGTCAGTATCATAAACAACCAAAATGGAGGGAGAACTCAGGCATATAACCAAATAAAAATTTTTAAAAAATCGCAAAAAATCCCTAAAAATCCGGGATGCTCCCCCTTTTCTCGCTAAAGGTAAAAGTATGAACCGCCTTTCTCCTGAAGTCCATTTTGACTTTGCAGGGACCAAGGAGTTAATATTTATTTATTTTTTAAAACTTTCGAAGGGCAAAAGCCTTTTATAACTCAACCGACAATGAGAAAACGTGAAAATCCGATGCAAGAGAAGCAGGGGGAAGGAGGGGGAGGTAGTAGTGCAGAAACTGCTAAACTTATTGGTAATGTGGACTGATCTGAGATAAGATAAACACTATATTTGGTATTTTATAACTCCTTTTTAATGATCTTTGTGAGGTTTGGTGTTTTTTTTTTTTTTTGGTGGAAAAAAAGTGATGCCATTTTCTTAATAGAGTTAATATGTGTGATTGGAAGAATAAACCTTTCCGGCTTTAGATTGCATTTTCGTCGCATTTATGCTTCAGGTTTTGTTAGTGGCTCCCTCCTTTATTTAAACTGGGCTTTCCAGAGGAGGGGTAGAGAGGTGATGTTGCACAGAGAGGCTGGAGTGCAGGACTGGAGTACCTTTTGGGGAGGGGTAAGGAATTGCTTAGTTTCTCCCTTCCTGACACGTTTGCTTCACCTGTTCATCCTCACTAAGGAATGTTAAGTAGAAGTTTTCTGACTTTATCTATATAAAAGGATGGTGCCTCTTGCATCACATTGATGTTAATGGCAAAGTGCTGCTGATGTTGGTTACACGTGGGATGTGGGACAGAGCTGGGCATTTTAAAGGGACAGCTTCTCTTTTCTTATGGTTTTCATCACCTACCCAGACTCTCTGAGGACCAAAAGCAGAGGTGCTGGAAGGGTGTGGTGATGGAAGAGCCTTCTCTTTCCATTACTCAAATGCACCCACCTTTAGGAGGGATGGAGGGAGAGGAGGGATAAACAAGCTCAACAGTAGATGAATATGCATATAGCTTAGTTTGCATCCAAGCTGTTCTTTTGTGTAACAAGCCCTCCCAGGAACTTTTCAAGTTACATTGCTTTGCTTTGGAAGCTGATTTTGGAAGGAATTGTGGAAAAATGGAAATAGTTTAAGGTGTGTGGCATAATGGTATAGCATTATTGAACAGTTATGAATTCTGTGCAGTGAGATCAAAGAGCTATGTATGCCCATAATGTGATTTACAGCCATTTTGTAAAAGCTGTAAAATACCTAATATTCAATTTGGCTTCAGGTACATGGAGGACTTCTGGTTAAAATTTACAGACAGAGTGGTGAAGATTCTTTAACATCATAAGCAGTAGGCATTTCTTTGGGGAAGGAAAACATATACACCAAGATCATGGAAAAGTTTACTTACATAGTCAGTTTTAAAGCCCATCCTATATGTATGCTCTAACTTTGAAGCTTTGAAATGAAAATATTTTAAAATTCTGAGAACCATCAGTTTGCATCTTTTATATTGAATATATTTGTGGTACTTAACAGGAAATGTTTATCAATCATAAAATACTATCAGCCCGTATGTTTCAGATGTCCACAGTGTTTTCAAAATTTAAAATGTGCGAGTTGTTAGCTGTACTCTATTTGGGATTAAGATTAATCTTGAACAGAAGTTACTGATGTTCGTTTTCCACAGGTATATGGAGTTTCTGAGATAAATTCCTATTTTCCTTTGTTTTTATGATTTATAGAAATGGACTAAAGTTAAAGCTGAATTTTTAGACTTTTTACACAGAATGTTTTTCCTTGCCATACTATATAAACAAATTATTGTTTCATAGTCTATTGTATGTTAACTTGTGTTCCTAGCTGAGCTCTGGGCATCTTTCTGTAAATACCTCCATAGCAATATTACATTGGTGTGGTAGTGTTTGAGTCCATCATCTTGAGACTTCTCATTTTGGAAATGATTAAAACTTTCTAAGAACTTGTCTTAAAAATTAATGCCATGAACCACTGCTAATAAAAATTGATTGGAAAGGGATTGATCTACTAATGGAAAAACCCCCTCCCAACAATCTTTTGTGTAGAGGTTTTAGAATACCACCAATAATTATAAAACCTTTGAGGTTTATCTTGCATTTTCATTGTTTTGGCTCAAGACAGTTACATTTACTGTAAGTGGTCAGAATTTTTCTTCCTATTAAAAATAAATGATACTTTTAGATTTGAATAGTTGCCACTTTGACAAGCCAGATACTAATATCAATAAATTCAATCTCTATAAAAGTGAAGGGAAAGCATTTCTTCCAGTTATATTAAATCATTGAGCTGTTTAGATTGTTCAGACCCTTCAAGTTATGGTTAGGTTATTGTCAATCTAAATAAAAGTGCTGGTGTTGTGGGACTTTTTTTTTTTTTTTTTTTTTTTTTTTTTTTACTTTTTTTTTCCCCTTACTATGACATTCTTGTTTGGGTTTTACACAACTAGTTACTTGCCTGTATTAGAAAATGCACTCAGAGTGCACAAATATGAAATCTATAATTCCTTAGAGAGTTATTTAGATAGGTCACAGCATAATACCTAATTTGAATTGGTTGTGTTAAGGTTTTTTGATGCCTTTAGAAATATTACCTGTTGGACATCCTTTGTCTGAAGCTACTATAAAATTATACCAGTTTAAAGAAATAATCTAAGGATATTATATACCCAAAATGCTCTTTTATTTGGAGAAACCTCACAGATTAATACTTTTATTTGAAATTTATATGCCTAATTTTGTTATTCTAAATTCTAAAGAATTTAGCTGCTCTGGAAGATGATTTTATAAGTATGGACTAATACTGGCAAAATATTATACATTTATTATAACCAAAGTATTTTAATAAACAGGCATTTTAAAGCTAAATAGTGAATTTTCTTTTATCAATATAGTTTTAAAATTTTAAGGATATTCTTTGTGTTTTAATATCAATCAAATATGAGGAATTTCCCTTCATTTTTAAGATAATCCTTGTTGTCACTGAATATATTTTGGTTTGGTATTCTGGAAATGTACCTTTCTTAGGATTAAGTTATTGTTTTCTAAATTAAATGTAATGTTCTTACATTAACTGAGATTTGAAAAGCCAGACAACTAAAACATATCTATAGCAATCTTTGAAGTTTTGTTTTAGTAATCATTTGCTTCTTGAACTATATAATGAAAAATAGTCATACTTCTAGGATTGTTTTTAATATTTTTTGTTTAGAATCTTATTCTTTGAAAAATCAAGATATGTGAAAAACTACCTGTTACACACGCACACAAACACACATACATACACACAAATATCAAGATAAGTTTTACCTGAATAATTTTACTTACAGTGCTTGGAATACATGTTCTTTTTTATATGTTTGCAAATGTATAAGAAATAAGTGTAATTTTTTAAATTTTGATATCATCTTAGATTCTTTAGTTGGGTGAAGGAAGAGTTTCAGAAAAGGGAGAAAACTGAATCTGTACAACAAAATCTAAGATAGTGAATATGTTCAAAGTGAAATGGCTATAAATTGTCCCTTGAACCAGATCTTAAATGTTTTAAGAAACTAATAAACACCTTTTCTGGAA